GTCTGCACTGTACTTCTGCTTCTATTTTGGTTTGTTGTTTTTCTATTTGTTTAGCAGTACATATAAAACCTTTTATCTTTTATTTCCTAATTAGGATAGTATTATCATTTGTATAATATGTTGTGTTTGTTGTTGTTTTGTTGTCAGCTGACCATGTGTTCTGGCTGTTTGTTTTCAGAGTCTAGGGTGGTTTTCCACTTTTCCAAAAATAATAATGAAAATTTTGCGAACTTTTCAAGCTAAGTTAAAACTAATTAAGAAACTTGTTAAAGAAAGCTATATTTATATTGATGTATTAATAAAAAGCTTGTATTTCTTTATGCCAAACCTTCCTTTAATAGCTTTGTATAGGTTTATCTAATCTATTTTGTTCTACTTCTATATGCTAATTTTGCTTATTAAAGTTCATCAAAGATTGGTTTTCTCACTGTTGCTTGTTGCTACTCTCATTTATTTTTATTTCTAAGTTGGTCAGCTGTATTTCAATGTTTTTTAACTTTTCCTTTAGTGCTCTATATATTGCTTGCTTATGTGTTTTAGTGTTATTTTATGTTTTTGCTTCCTGTGAATTTCTGTCAAGAAATCTACAGAGGAGAGTTTTCTGAGAAATTTTTTTGTCTACTAGAGCTTTCTGTATTTCATACTTATAGCTAACCTAATATTATTTTAGTCTAAACTATTACTTGTAGTCAGAGCTAACCATTGAACTGCTATACTCTTATAAGATTTACTCAAACTCTAGTACTTATCTTTCTGATATCTTTTTTATCATTACTTACTAACCACAGCTAAGAACTAACAAAAACTTCTTAGATTTTCAATCCAGATAGCCTAGTATAATATATTTTAGTATTCTTTTTCTCTGGTAATTTTAATGGCCTAGTTAGTTATATATTCCTCTATATATCTTATTATTTGGTTTATCTGTTTATTCTTACTAAAGATGTTTTATAGACTTCCATTAGTCTAATAGCACTGTTGAAAGTTTGTACTATCTCCTTACTCAAAATTTTTAAGTAAACTTTTAATTTTACAGTTCTTTTACTTTTTGCACCTAATGGTCTTATTATAGATTTGTATCAAAGTCTTATCCAATACTGATTAAGCATTTCTCTATGTATATATAATGTTACAATTTATTGTCCGAAGCATAGTGAGGACTTACAATAGAGATGTAAATACACAAAATGTCTTGGGTTCTGCTTACATGATATATATCCAATCAGAGTTTAAATTAATATAACATATCGACACGGATCAGCCTGACAAAACGGAAAATCTCGTAAAATTAAAAGCTTTGGACACTAACAGAACCTGTTTTCCTAGTATAAATGCTTTGAATTTCTATTCAAGATAGTGCAACTGAAAGTTACAGATTCATTTAATTTAACTAATTAACAAAGTTAGTTACTATAATACAGATATAATTTTCAAAATCCATTGTCTATAGAATTTAAACTCAAGACCTGCTACTTGGAAGTTAGCAACCTAACTACTTCATTAGGTCACTACACCTCTTATTATTTTTTTATTATATATATTTTTTATTATTTATTATATGTATTTTTTTATTATATATAGTTTATTATTTTGTATTTTTTTGTTTTATATTTTATATTTCTTGGTTAGTATTTTTTTGTTTTATATTTTGTATTTTTTGTTTTATTTTTTTTTGTTTTATATTTTTTATTCTTTTTGTTTTAAGTTTTTTTATTATATTTATTTGTTATATTTTTTTATTATTTTTTATTATATTTTTTGTTTTATATTTTTTTAGTTTTGTATTTTTTTGTTTATATTTTTTATTTTGTGTTTTTTTTAGCAGTCTTGTTGTTAATCTTTATTTATAAATATATATATATATTGATTTAATTTACTAGCTGCTTTAATGAGTACCCAGAGATGGTTTGCTATATCAGTTAAAGTAATACTCAAATCTAGAAGCTGTATTAGACTAGACTAAAATATTATAAAAATGTCTTGTTTTATTATCTATATAATTTTTTATTAAACCAAACTATATTCTTTTTATTTTACTTTTTTTTTACTTTCTTTGCCTTCTTACTTTTTTAGTATTTTGGTTTTTTTATATTTTAATTATATTTTCTGTTTAACTATGTATTTTTTTACTAATTGGTTTTGTATTTTTTTCAGGTTTCTTTTATTTTGATAATCAAGTAATATTTCTATTAAATTCATCTTAATACCAAAAAATATATATATTTTTTTATTCAATAATAACTTTATATTTTCTTTTCTATATAATTTTATAGATCTTATTTTATATTGTATTAGTTACTATAGCTAAAAATTCTTTTGTTTTCTTAAGTAACTTTAGTATATTTTGTATTTGCTTAATTGTTTTTTTCTAATTTAAACATTTAATTATTTTTATTTTTGTTTTTTGTTTTCTTGCTTGTTTACTTATCAAAAAACTTCTTTAAATTGCATTTTACTTATAACTGCTTGAGTTTTATTTGAAAGTTTAGTTTATACAAGATTAATCAAAAAATTTTCTATTTTTTTCTAGTTGTTCTTATAATACTTGCATAATACTAAATGGTTTGATTTTTTTTATTTTTTTGCAGAGTATGCAAAAAAGGCTTTTGTAAAGATTTAATCTTTGTTATATTAAAGGTTTTAGTAATAATAACCTGTTATTAAGGTATTTAATTAAAGTTTTTATTTGTGTATTCTTTTTTTGACTTATATATCTGCTTCTGTTTTGGTTTCTAATCTTTTTTCATAAATATGTTTGATTAAATACTTTTGTCTTGTTATCTGGTTCTATTTTTTTAATTACTAATAAAAAACTTATTTAGTTTTTGTTTAAAAATTTAAAATTTCTTTAATAAATTTTTTTGTAGAATCTTTTATAACTTCTTTTTTTAACAAATTAAGTTGCTAGTCTCTTGAGAAGTTTTTCTACTATTCTATTTAAATTATCTATTTTGGCTCTTTTTTTATTTAACTATCTGCTCTATTATTTCATCTATTATCACTATAGTCTTTAACTTTAACTAGCTTTATTTCTAAGTTTTTTGAATCTATAATATTTTTAATATTCTCTAGTAGATTGTAATTTTTTTTTTTAAACATTACTTGCTAGATTGGTTTTTATTTTATTTTTTAGAATTGCAATTGCTATCTACTGTTTGTATAAATCTTTACTTTTTTTGTTCTAATGCTACAAAAATAATAAACCAAATTGCTAAAAGTTCTGATTTTGTTGATGATGGTTAATTATATATACCAAAATAGCTTTTATTTAGTACTTTTTTTTTTTATCTAATTGCATCTAGTTTGATCTCATTTAGTTTACTTTTAAATCTTCTTTTTCTAATGCTATTTTTGTAAATATTTGTATAAAATATTAATATTTTTTAGATATTTTTTTGTTTTTTTTAATTAAGTTTTATAAGTTCATCTTTTATTAGTTGGCTAATAGATTGTTTTTTAATAATGTTTGTATTCAAATCAAAATATATAACTTTAGTAACTATATTTTCATTTAGATATAATTTTTTTTACTATTTTTTGTAAAGAGTTTATTATTTTTTAGTCTAACTCTAGAGTTTGTTGTTTATATTTTCTAATATAGTCTGAAATTTCTTTTTGTATTTTAGTTTTATCAAACTATTTTTCATAGTTTAAAGTATTTGGTTTTAATTTAGTTTATAATCTTTACATTTGAATAGTGTTACTTTGCTATTTCTGTTTTTTTTTTATTTTATATCAGTGTTCTGTTACTATTTTAATTAAGACTTAATCTTTTTTCTTTTGTTATAAAAAAGTAGTTTTAATAATATTTCTAAAACAAATCTTTTTAGTTTAGTTATTTTCTAATTTTTTATTAATAATCTTTTTTTTTTGTCTTCTAATATTTTTTTTCTATTTTTGTAAATGACTTGGTTTTTTTATTTTTATTTAATTCTTTTTATAATAATTTTAGTTGTTGCCAAAAAATCATTCTGTTACCTAATTTCAAAATTAACTAACTTATATAATCTAAATTAAGCTTTCTAAAAAATTTAGCTATGTTTTTAGTAAAATAATTGTCTACTAGATTTGTAATTTTTGCACTTTTCTCTTTTTTATTAATATTTAAATTGTAATTTTATTATTATTTGCATTTCTTTAACCTTAAGTATAATATGACATGCTAGATTGTTTTTTTATAAACTTTTGTATTCTTTATATAGATTATAGTACCAATTGGATTTGACATTCTTATTAATAAAAGTTCATAATTAATTTATATTTTCATAAATGTTTCTTCTAGATTCATTGTATTAATTAATATATGCAAACTTGTAATTTAGTTTATTAATAATTAATAGCAAAGAAAGTTGCAATTTTTAAGATTTCTATATAACATGATACTATTGCTTAATATGCTTGCAATTCTAAGTTTGTGTTTTGTTATTTTTTGAATTAGCTTTTGTATTACTTTAATTATTGCTTTAGATAACTTTATTATTTATAACAAGTAAGTAAGCTTAAGTAAAAGTGCAGGAATAACTCTGTAGCAGCAGTTGCAACTTTTGCTGTAACCATTACAGTTTTGGTCATGATGACGCAAATCATAACTGGTAACAAGATTGTAACCTATAATGCAGCTTGCTATTTATAACGCAGGTTGTAATCTATAACACAGTTGTAATCTATGACACAGGTTGTAATCTATGATGCAGTTGTAACCTATGATGAAGGTTGTAAACTATGTTGTAAATAGTTCATTTTATGATTTTTGTCACAATGTACAATTTATTATATCATAATTTCTTTGTTGCAATGTGAAATTTGTTGGGTCTTTCAAAGTGTCTTTACTAATGGTTTTGTATTAATTTAACATCCTCACATTAATTTAAAAGTATAATAATAATAATAATAATAATAAAAGGTTATTATATTCTCTGCAATATGTATTTATATAAATGTACATAAAATAATTTGAAAGTATTATATTTTCAAAAATAAAATTAAGAAACCATAAAACCATGAATACAAATTGTGAAAGTTTTTTATTTTCTGCTGATACCAATATTACAAATAATGATCAATTAAATAAAAAACAAAAACTAGGTGGCCCAAATTTTGATAAAATTTGGCAATATTTTATACAAGGCAAAAATAAAGGTCAGGGTTATTATGAAGCAAAATGCCACTACTGTAAGTCTTTTTGGGCATGTGGCAGACCATGTCAAATAAAAGCTCATCTAGCAAATTATTGTGAAGAATGTCCTGAAAATATTAGCAATTATTGGTGGCAAAAATTGGCAGATGAAATTAATAATTATACTCAAAATACTCATGAATCTTCTTCTGAACCTCTTCCACTTGAAATTATTAATCAAATTGATAAATCCCTTATTAAAGCTTGGGTCATGGCTGGGTTTCCATTTGAGACAATTGAAAATCCTTTTGTAAAAGATTTTCTAAGAAATTTAAATTCAAAATATACTTCACCATCAAGAACAACTCTTTTTGAATGTCTCTTAAATGCAGAAATTGCTAGGATAACAAATGCAATTAATAAGGAACTTGAATACTGTAATAATCTTACTCTTACACTAGATGGTTGGACATCACCACAGACTGATTCACTTTATAACTATATTGTGACTACAACTGATCAAAGAAAATATCTTATAGCTTTAAAGGATTATTCATCTGAAATACATATAGGAGAATTTATTGCTAATGAGTTCTCTGATTTGATCGAAAATATTGAAAGTGAAAAATTTGCTGCAGTAGTTACTGATGCAGCATCAAATTGTAAATATGCCTGTAAGAAAATTCAAGAAACTTACCCACATGTTTAGGATATTTGATATGTGCCACATGCAATTAATTTAATTGCAGCTGATCTAACAAAATTAGATAATATTAAAAGTTTAATTAATAAATGTAATAAAATTATTAAATTTTTTAATGAATCACATCGAAGTAACTCATATTTGCAACAAAGTTTAAAAGAAATGAAAATTTGATCTGAAGGTCTTCATTTATGGTGCAAAACACGTTAGGCTTCATTGTTTTTTACTACTGATTTGATCATATTAGCCTGTCCAGTATTTGATTGGATTTTAACTGAGTATTCTGAAATTATTGTTAATACAGACATTTGCTTTTTATTAAAGAATGAAGAATTTTTTTTCACTTGCTGCCAAGCTAGAAGTATCTGGGCTCCAATCAAAGAAATTATTCATGCTCTTGAAGCAAATACAGCCAATTTAGCTGATTGTTTCAATTATTTAATTAAACTTGCAGTAAAGATTCATCAAATTCCATTAATAAATCCATTTAGAGTTGCAGCAATCAATATGGGCTGCTGTCAATAGAAATCAAGCAGATCTACATTTGAAAAAAAAATCAATGCCTTAACTTTCATAGCTCATATATCAATGAATTTAAAGCTATCTTGGTAATTTAATATTCAAAAGAAAGCATAGATTGTAAGCTTTCTTTTAAATATTAAATTATCAAGATAACTTTAAAATTCATCGATATATGAGCTATGAAAGTTAAGGCATTGATTTTTTTTTCAAATGTAGATCTGCTTGATTTCTATTGATGGCAGCCCATATATTTAATCAAAGGTTTAAGGAATTTCAACATCCAATCTACCTTTTATCATATTATATCCATCCGCATCATCAAGGCTTTGGACTAAAAAATGGTGGATTTAGAGAAGTGGCACTTATTGCTGTTTTTTTTTTTTTTTTTTTTTTTATTTATATAATATCAAGTAGGAAAGTATAGTAATACATGGATATATCAATTGAATATAAATGTATAAGTAAAAATTATTCCTAAGCTACACTATTGTTGCTATGTATTAACAACATCTAGTGTGATATTATCCTTTGGTTATCTGTATTAGTTAAATCAACTGTTGTAATCTTTAACTACA